ATAACGATTTCGTTGTCACCCGGTATAATAATTACATACCAAAACCTCAGAGGGCAAACGTTATACTATGGCCCAATACAGACCAAATAACATGACATTAACACATCTCTAATTACCAGGCCCGGGTAGACGGTACAAATTCCCAGGGCCCGTAAAAACGGGGGCCCGGATTATACGTCTAAATTTTGCTTTACAAGTGTCACATTCCAAATGTGTCGAAATGTGATCTTTTAAATTGGGTTTTCTTTTAAATTTGGCTTTGCAAGTATCACATGCAAAAGGATAAATATCCTCTTTTCGTTTGAATTTCGCTTTGCAAGTGTCACATTCGAAAAGACAAATATCCGAATGTGTAATTGAATGATATTTCAAGCTTGTTTCGGTCTTAAATACAGTATTGCACATAAAACATTGGAACTTCCTAATATTCCCGAGGCCCGTAAGACCTGGGGACTAAAAAAAAAAAGAAAAAGGGAAGAGAAGCCCGTTATTATTTTTTTTTACTAAAGCCTGACCCAGCTCTCGGCGGCCCTGCTAATTACATTAATACAGACACATAGCAACGCAATTTCGTCTATATTGGGTTTATTGTTGCACTTTTTGACAATAAACTTACAGTCTATAATTTTCTTTTAGAACTTCGCAAATACTACTATGAATTGGATAAAGCGACGAAGGAAGCTTACGGCAAGGTGTTATTTAACGAAATCGTACCTTCGTATGTGAAGAAATTTGAAGAGATGGCAAAAGAAAACAACGGGTATTTCGTTGGAAGTTTCGTAAGCAAACAAAAAAGAAGTTTCACACTATAGGGGTGTTGATTTGTACTGTTAGGAGCTGCTATTCATGAACTTTTGATAGGGCAGTATCAATGACAGTACAAATGAACACCCTAGTCACTCTATTTAATTGAATCAAATTTGTTTTTTAGATAACTAACGCCGATTTGGTATTTGTCGGTTATGCACCCTTTCTGAATTTTATGGCGGAAAAAGACCTCTTTGTCTCAACTCCATATTTACAAAAAGTTACTGAACGTGTTATGGAAATTCCGGGAGTCCAGGAGTACGCGGACAGGAATCCAATTTTATTTTAAATTTTGTTTTTTAATTAGGTACCATCGTCACCAAAAGTAACTGGGACAGCATCAAATTAGCTCTTGTACTATTATATGAATTTTATTGTCAAATATTTGTCAAACTATGAATCAAATGCATTTAAATGAATGACAGTAGAATTAGTCCAGGAGATTATTATGCATTATTTTTGTCCCAGATACTTTTGGTGACGATGGTACGTCTGTGACCTGTGTAGATTTTACAATGTTTGTTTTTGAGTGTGCGTTATTTTTTTATTGATCTTCCATGTTTTAATAAGTTATAATTTGATTATAATTCCGTTTGCGCCAAAGGTCAGTGGTTTGAATGCGACAAAAACTTGAACCTTTTTAATTAATTAAATGTACTAAATTTATTACAATAAACAATTTATAAGCATCCTGGAAATGGATCGGCCCTGTTTTTTCTTAGGACAAACTTGATTTTCCTGTCCATGTCCTCGTTGTAGATTGCTTTGCAGCGTTCAAAGTTGATTTTTCTTCGGAACTATTGTACAATGATTATTGTACTAAGCTCAAAATGTTTGAGGCATGATGATAATAGATGGCGATATTAGGCTAGTTGCAAAACTATTAGAATCATTCACAGAAAATTTGTAAATAATTTGATTAGCTTTAATTGAAAACTAATTACGTTGGAATCGGGTTGAAATTTTAATTAATAAATACCTTCCTTAAAATTAATGAAATAAATAACAAAATTTTGGATCAAATCGTTAGGGGCCAAAAGTGCAAATTACAGATTTCTGTAATATAACTTAAATGTTTTTATAAATAATTAGTGTTCAATTATTGCCAAATATGATTATTTTAGACGATTGGCGATTAGATAAATTATCAAAATCGATTAATTATCCGAATAAAATGTAAAAATTAATCAACAAAGTTGCTAGCGCCATCTATTAACGAACAGCCAAAACTTAAATGAAGCTAATGCGATTTTCATGCAAATGACGCTTAATTACTAATAGTTGATAATCAATAAACCACTAATAATTGAAAAAAACATTGATATTAACTAATTAGTACTTATATTTGCATAAAATCTCCAACTATCCAAACTTGCGAATTGCAGATTTCTATAACAATAATCAATCGATTTATAAGAGAATAGTGATTTATTATTAATAAAAAGTAAAAAATATAGTCATATAAAGCAAGTCATCAATAGAAAAATTATTGAAATTAATAATTCGAAAAAACAAATTATTTAAACTACCAGCGCTATCTGTCAACGAGCGGCCGAAGTTGCCAATTACAGATTCTTGTAATGGTAATTAATTGATTTCAATGCAAAATAAAGTAATTTTTATTGTTTAAGGCAATTGAAATCAAGAAAAATCAATACAACCGATAAAATAATTGATAAATTATGCAAATTTTCGAACAAAATGGTCGGGAGCCAAAATATGCGAATTACAGATTCCTGTCATAGTAACTTTTCAATTTTTAGTTAGACTCTCGATTATTAGATGGCGCCACTAATAAAATTATTAAAATTGTTTTAATAATTTAAGTCTATGGTACAATAGTTCCGCAGAAGAATCAACGTTCAATCCTAATGATTCACTTTCGTCACTAGATATTTTATCACTATTTTATCGAAAGATGCCTATTTTTCAGTGGCCAGAAAAAAAGTTTTTTGCAGATGCTAGTTTGTTTGTGCAATGAGATTTGGATTTTGTTGGAATTTTTGACATTTTTATGCCTACACAACATAAAACATTTATTATTAAAACCCAAGAATCGTAAACTAACAGGATTGTTCATCCTGAGAAGGCGTACGTTTGCCGGTTCTCGAGTCCACAAGGTCTGCGAGTGACGTCACCACGTCCGCAGCTAATATTGGTAACGTCATCCGCAGACCTCGATGAAATGTTTGCGATTCAGGTTCGTTATTTGATTTTTGCGTCGATTTTAAATGTAGAAATAGCTATTTATGTAACAAGTTGTAAATTGAGCGTGTTTTTTGCACTAAATGCGGAGATTGGGTGGAAAAAGCGGAAAAACCGGGACAATTCGCGTGAAAAGCGGGACCTGAAATTAATAAAAAAAAAGGCGGGACCGATTAACAAAATGCGGGACTGTCCCTCCCAAGGTGGGACGTCTGGCAACTTTGCCACCTCGTGCACCAACCCTTTTGCCTGTGTTTCATGTTTCATGCTCCTGAGCCGCTTTCCAGTACCTAAATTGTTAGAGTATCATGCTCCTCTGGAGTGTGACTGTGGCACTTGAACTGTTCCACACAAGCAGCATTGGAACGCTCCCGTCTTAACCCCCACCATTTCGCACTTCAGGAGCATGAAACACCGAAATAAAGGTTGGTGTACGAGGGGGCAGGGGATAACAGAAAATGTCATTGAAAATGAGTAGTTCAAGTGTACGACACTCTAAGCACTGGAACGCGCAAAGTAATTGTGGAGCACTCTTGAGCTGCTCCGGAGTAACTCAAATAGGTCACTGGAAAGCACCTCTCTGAAATCCGAAATGGTGGGGGTTAAGACGAGAGCGTTCCAGTGCTGCTGTCGAACAGTTCAAGAGCGTCACATTTCAGGAGCATGATACTCTAACAATTTGGGCACTGGAAAGTGGCTCTGAACAACTATTAGTTGTATTCCTTTCAAGAGCTTGAAACACTCGAGCTACTCGCTTCGTTGCTTAGTCGCCCCCGATTTGCAGGGAACAGATGCGTGGTGCAACAAACACTTTTCGAAAGGAATAAGCGCGTGAAGCCCCGGAGCTGTTCCGGAGCTCCTCCTAGGCGTGAAAGAAATACAACTTGCGTGTCACTTCACTTGTCACTTGTCCTTGTCAATTTCAAATTTTGACGCTTTCCAACGGCCATTATATCTTTTTCATTTCAGTGATTTTTTGGTTAGCTCGCACGTGTTTGATTTTATGGCTTGTTTAAGGCCCATTTATGGCTCGCCGTTAGCCCCGCCGTTCGCAGCCACAAAAATGAGACCATTTATAAACTTGCCGTTTGCCGGTCTCAAAAAGTAAATAATAAACATAACCTCTGTTGTGCGTGTGCCTTCATTTTGTCATTTTGTGAGTGATTTGGACGATTTGGTGGTAATTTACTGATTTGATAATAATTAACATGAATAACATGAGCTGAAACAAAATTTTAAATTCGAAAAATCAAAATAATCTCTCCCACTTCATCCCGATGACATTTGTGGTGTGGTAAACATCACATGACTGGACTGGTGAAAATCCGTTTTGAGGCTCAGGCCTATTCGGGTTTGGAAACAGGACGGTTCTAGAACGGTTCAAAACAATCGTACAGTTTATTAATGAGCAAAATAACAACGACTCGGCTATCACAAATTTCACTAATAAACTGTGCGATTCTTTTGGACCGTTCTAGAACCGTACTTTTTCCAAACCCGAATAGGCCCTCTCAAACTTGAAACTGTAGCATGACTTGCTACAGATTTCGGCAACGGAAAAGATAAAATTGGTTTATGTCTAACGGAACGGAACGGCAGAGCTAATAACGGTGTGGACGGTGGGGCCGACGGCAAATATAAACGATCTTTTATACAACATTTGCATAGTCGTAATCATAATCATAGTCTGAGAAGGCGAGTTTAACAGCATGTATTTTAAATGGGAAAGCTCAAGTACCAGTCGAGTTCAGTTGAACTTTGTTTTGAAACGAAACTGTACAACTGGGCCTAAGTCACAATCATAAAAGTGAAAAGTTGCCAACTTTGAGTTATGCTTATGATTATGATTTGTGTATAAACAGTTTCATAAGAAAATATTATTTTATTATGCAAATGTTGTATAAACCAGCCATTATTTGAATGTTTATTACCAATTCCCACTGAAAAATAATTTAGTTGATTTTGAAAGTAGAAACTTACTAAGAATAATGGCTGCTCAAATCAATACCCAGAAAAAGAAAGTGGGCCAAAACATTAAAGTTGTTGTGAGAGTCAGGTAAGAATTGTTTTTTTCTTCTATTTGTATTCAAGTTGATAGTGGGGCTTGAATTGATTATTACAAGTTTATTGTGAGATTTAACGAGATGAGTAAAGAGTCTTAACAAGGCCTCTGTTGTTTTGTAGCTTGGTGAAAAAGTAGAGATTCTCTTTCAAAACAGACCCTCTCAAGTACAATCCTTCTAGCCCAGGAATTCACCCTTGAGATTGAGTCTAATTTTTCATCTTTGGTAGTCTTACAGTCTTACCTATCAACTCGATACTGAATTAATAACTTGAAAGCCCTTTCACAATATTTTTAGAGGCTTTAACAATAGTGATTTTAGCTTGAAAAAATATTTCTTATTGAGTGCACTCGAGGGGTGTGTCACTTCTGAAATTACATGTACATTTTCTTGATTCTATTGTGGAATTCACAGGAATTTGCTTAGAAGTCATTGGAAATTTGGCAGTCAGTGGCACAATTCCGCGTAGTCACTAGAACTCACTCGGCAGTCGCTGGAAGTCGCGCGGCATTCATTGGTATTCACGGCAATTCTGAGGAGTTTGGTCGCGGCATTCGTACTCACCTGCCACAAGTTTTTGATCGCGAATTTGATTTGTGGAATATCTATCCCCCTCTCTATTTATCTATTCCCTGCTCGTTAGACACATTTGTTTGACATCATATTTGAAACGATGAGTGACATAGTAAGCAACATGAAAAAACTTCTAGAAACCTGAGCACAAAGATATTCAACACAGATGAGCATTCGAAAAGTAATTTTTTCAAATTCAAATTAGCTTTTTATTGTCATAAAAAATAAACATTTGTAGACAAAGCCTTAACATAAAAAGATACAATAAAGAAAATAAAAAAAGTAAATACAAATGCATGTCATGTTATAAATAAAAAGAAGAGAAAATTAATGTTCATAGAAAAGTTTTAAAATTAAATAAAAATTACACTAAAAATAGCAAATAAAAGTAGAATACAATACGCAGCTGAAAGTCGGAAAGAAACAGAGTTCCTGAATAAAAATTTAATAAAAATGTATAAAATTAAAAACATAAATTTAAACAGAATGTGTATACTGGAAACCCCAAATTAGAATAATTATTGTTATCAAACATGACACAATTCACAAATTATGTGATTAATTATTTATTAAGTAGGTATATTTTCTTAAAAAGTTTGAGAACTTTCAGCACATTTATCAAGAATTTTCAGAATATTCAGAACTTTCACGAGAAATTTGGGAATTTCGGGAAATTTGAGAAAAATCAGAATTTATTTAGAAAAATGTTTTGTTTTATTCAGCTTCTGATAAAAAGCATAAATTCTCGGGTCCTGCTCGTTTTTGCTCGTTTATTCTCGTTAATTCTCGATCGTGCTCGGAGAACGTTCTCCTAAAATACTTGCTCGAGCATTTTACCTATCCACTACCTGCAATAGAAACTTTAATAGAAATAATATATTTCTACAAGTCTCATCATTTTTCTCTTCCTCTGATCCTTATTTTTTGTCTATTCTTGGATATTGAATTTTTGTTGTAATAAGGAAATTTCAAACACCTGGAATAGACTAATTACATATTTTGATTTGTCTATCAATTTTCCACAAGTTCCCATCAATTATGCATTTCTGTGTGTTTTCTTTCTCTTATTGAAAAATTTCCAGAGCCTGGGCTGGGATAAACAAAAAATGACTCAAAAATATAGTAGAACATATTTTTTGAAAAACTGTATTCGTTTCAGCTCATTTTTACTTTTCATTATTATTTATTTTCATCAGGTATAAAGTCAGAAAAAGAATAGTACAAAGCTTGGTAAAAAAACATTTTCATACTTTTTGTGGGTCATCTTATGTTTTTGAACTTTTTTTTTGTTTATTTTCTTCATTATATTATGTTAACTTCAGATAACATGTGCTTGATTTTTCGTTTTTGTAATTCTTTCAAGGCCCTTCAACAAAAAAGAATCCCGAGGCCAGTCCAGAATGGCAGTTAACTGCATATCGCCCACAGAAATCCAGACAAAAGATAAAAAATACTGCTTCGACAGGGTTTTCCAACCCGATTGCAACCAGCTGGACATTTACTCATACATCGTCGAGCCGATGATCAACGACGTATTCGCCGGATACAATTGCACCGTTTTCGCTTATGGACCAACTGGTACAGGAAAAACGCATACCATGATTGGAGGTGATCCTAGTTCCCTGTCTTCACTGGATTGGAGACGAGTAAGTAGCAAACTAACTTAAAAAAAAAGCTTTTTATAGCAAATTTGAAGCAATATTTTCACAAGAATTCAACTTATTGAGGCTTCAAACAAGCCTTCAATTCTTGATACTTTAATGTTTTAAAATTTAATCAAAATGTTCTCGATGATTTTGTAGTAAAAATCTTCTCAAAATAAAATTATTTCTACCTGCTGTCTTCTGGTCTGTGGGATTCTAAGGGCGGGTATTATAAAACTGCTTTGACAGTTAACTTTTTGAATTACATGTATTTTCAGAAGTTAACTTTAAGTTAATTCTCAAAGTAGTTTTATAATACCCGCCCTAATAAAGGCGGGGGTGGGACTTTTCGCCGCCAGCCGTTTGTTGCGTGATGAAACACTACTAGTTTTGTTTCATTTGAAACAGAGATGGGCTGATATTGAAAAGCAATTAAATAAGACATCAGGTGAATTGGGGAGTCCGAAATTATAACCCTTTTTTCAGTAGCAATAAAAAAGATGCTATGATTTTGACCATGTTATTATTATTATTTGATAGAATCACTAGAAAACCAAACTAACCCTTTCTGCATAAAGTAGCAATAAAAAGAACATTGCCATGATTTTGACCAGGTTATTTTTATTGTTTGGTAGAATCACTAGCAAACTAACCCTTTCTGCATAAAGTAGTAATTAAAAGGACAATGCCATGATTTTGATCAGGTATATTATATATATGTATATATTTTTTATTGTCAATTGTGCTGCATTTCAAAGTTGTGTGATATGATTGTTGGCTTCTCTTGTCTTTATTTTTATTTCTATTTTTATTCTTACTGTTATTTTTATTTTTATTTTATCCTTTGTACAATTGAGACAATAAAGCTTATTTGAAATTGAAAATTGAAATATGCCTCTCAAATAGTCTATAAAATGTTTCTGGCAAAATCCCGGGCTTGCGGCGGAATCTGAATGATTAAATTTGTTGGTCATTCATAAATTAAATAATTATTTTGCTTTGTTTTTTTAATACTTGATTTATGATGCCTCAAATTGAAAATTAAGAATTTTTCAATTGAATTTTTCTTCTTTTCAGAACGAAAAAGCCGGTTGTATTCCCAGAGTGGCCACCAACATATTCGACGAAATCGCTTCGAGGAAAGTAAATGATTACAACGTTCGTGTATCATTTCTGGAGCTTTATAATGAAGAAATACGAGATTTATTGAATTCAGACAAGCGCCGGCCACCATTAAAGTAAGTCGAATTTTAACCCCCAAAAAGAGCATTTGAAATAATAAAAATAGTTTAATAGGCAAAAATTATTAATTTTAATTGCATTTTAAAGCGCGAAGTAGTACTTTTACGCCCTAGGGCGCCTTTTATGCCCGCGGGCCCGAAAGTTTCAAAAATAAACAAAAATTCCTCCATTTCTATTGCTAAGTCCAAAAAATTTTTTCAACAAAACAAGCTTTATTTCAATTAATAAGAATAATAAAATAAGCAATAATGGTAAAATTCAATCTACTTTGAAATTGAAAATACAATTTTTACAGTTTTTAACTTTTAAAACCGGCCCTTTTCCACAGAAATACACAAAAGGATTGTTGCCTTCAACATTGAGTAAAAGCTCTGTTGAAATTTCATTTCAACCCGCTGCCGCCGCCGCTGCATTTAAAGTTAAATTTCTTTATATTTTTATTCCTACTATAATCTGCTGTTTCTACGTTTCTACCCGATTTTCAAGGGAACGTGCGTATGCCCAAACGCATCGCAAAAGTAGGTCAAGACTGGAGGTGGAGAGTACCTACGAAGTCGAAGTTTTTGTTTGCCTTGAGTTCTCATTTCTAGTCAGAGATCGTAACGAATTGCAAGGGTTGTTTTGTACCGCTTTTTTCTTTTCTCCAAATGGCCCGATCGTGCGCCTGAAATCAACCTTTTCTTTCTCTTCAGTTTTCTATTGTTTAATTGCTGTTAATTAACCAATTATTTGCGTTAAAGTGAACGATCCATATACTTATTTAAATATGCAATGTTCTTCAGAATTTGTTACCTGTTTTCTGTAAATAGTTGTAAATAGTCGTTTTTCGTTCAAATTAAAATAAAAACACTTTTCATAATCAAACCATCGTGTTTCCTTGAACCTGGATTTACGAACAAGAATTAGCACGGCATTGGCAGCATTCTACCACAGATTCTACTCTTGAAAAATAAATAAATGTTGGAAACCACAACAAGCTCCATAGGGTGGATGGCTTATTTTTTTTTTTGCATTTTCCATATTAATGTAGGTATGTATATGCCAGGCCAGGAGAGTTTTTTCTACAAAATACTGCTGCTCATTTACACTATGTTGGGCACATCAGGAAATAAAGTCCTCATATGTTTTTTCATAGAGTCTTTTGGACTTTGAAGGTATACATGTTTCTTGGCCTCTTCAACTGCCTCAAGAATAAACTTGGGCATGCTATTTTGCTCCATTTTCAGACGCACTACCATCATAAGAATACCATACACGATACACGTACACTACACAGCACATAATTATTTGTTTGTATTGTTCTGGGTTGCTATAATAGTTACATGATACTTTTGTCAAAAATTGCTTCCTCATACAGCATTAGAATTTTGAATTTATATCTATTCAGTATACATATATAGATGATAATTACCTATTTGATTAGTCAAAATCCCTTCCGGATTATAAATATTGATAAAAATATGAATTGAAGTACATAAAACAACATAATTGATGCTTCTCGAGTCCCACTGGTATATATGGTGTACCACTTTCAAAAATTCGACCGCATCCAGTAAAATCTTGTAATAAACTGAATGTTTTTAGGGTGCATTCAAACCAGATTTTCAGGTTATAATAAGGAATAAACAAGGTGGTACTAGGTTTACACCAGAGAACGTTAAAGGGTTAAGAGAACATATTTCAACTGTCATTGGAGTATTATGCTTATTAAGCTAGAAACTTTATTTCAATTAAATATTTAAAAATGATTTATTTTGCTTTGTTTCATTCGAAACTGCCATATTTGGAGATCTCGCATTTGAAACCATTATAAATTATGCAAAACAAAATTATCAAATGTATACATGAATGAATTGCCTTATTTAGAACCATCTGTTAATTTATATAAACCTTATGGATATTTAAATCTTAATGTATATTTCGTGAATCAAGGAAAAAGATCAATATTACATGATGATAGTATATTGAAGTACAATTTGTATATTATATTCCCTATAATAAACTTTGTAGTTGGTTGGAAAATAAATAAATAAATAAATACGAAAAGCTCCATCACCCCATGATTTGTCTAAATTTTTTTAATTTTCAGCATCTTCAATGACGACAAGGGCGCCGTCTTCATACAAAACCTAAATGAAAAAAACGTCTTCAACAGCAATGACATACACGAACTACTGAAACAAGGCACACTAAGATGTCAGACCAACTCAACTCACATGAACAATCACAGCTCTCGTTCGCACACAGTTTTCACCATAACCGTACACATCAAAGAAGCTGATTTAAACGGCGAAGAAGTTTTGAAGACAGGCAAAATAAATCTAGTAGATCTGGCCGGCAGTGAAAATATCGCGAAAAGCGGCGCCAAAGATAAAAAGGCTCTGGAACTGGCCAACATTAATCGGTCGCTGTTGACATTGGGACGCGTGATACAAATTTTGACAGAAAAAAACAATAGGCACGTTCCTTATCGGGATTCGAAGCTAACGAGAATTTTGCAGGACAGTTTAGGAGGCCACACCAAAACCTGCCTCATCGCCACCGTGTCTCCAGCTGACAGCTCCTACGAAGTAACCCAGTGTACTCTAGAATATGCAATGAGGGCTAGGGACATCAAAAACACTCCGATGGTCAACGAAAAAGTAACACAAGTCGAAATGTTCAAACAACTGACAACGGAAATTGAAGAACTAAAACGCAAATTAGAAGCCACTCAACTTGGCGAAGGCGGAAGCGGAGGCGCAGGCTTTTTCGTGGCGCAACAACACTGGGACGAAATACAAAATCAGCTTCACGTCAACTCAAATTCGTTAACAATGAAAAACGAAATTATGGACGACATGAAAAAGCGCCTGGCCGATCTCGAAGTGATACAAAAAATTAAAACGCGCGACTACGAGGAAGCGATGAAAAATTGCAAAAACAAAGAGAAAATCATCCACAAAGCGACGGCGCTTCTCAAAGAACACCGTGAAAATTTGCAACAGGAAAAGTATTTGTCCAAAAATTATTTCCAAGCGGTGCAAGATGAAAACACCCAGGCGAAATGTTTGCTGCAGGCCAACAATACATTGACCGAAAATTACAACATGGCGCGGTTCAAACTCAAAACCCAATATTTGAATAGTCTCTCCAACAACTGTTTAATACAGGAAAAGTGTCGCAGTTTGCAACAAACTATTGTTAGCGGTCGGGAGCAATTGGACAAGATGTCGTTAACGTCACAGTCTGCCGTGACCAATCAAATGGCTGTTTTGGAAGAAAGTGCGCGGGCGTGTCACCAGGAACTGGAGCGTTGCGCTGCTTGGAAAAAGGAAATTGAGGATGTGGCTAATAATAAGAACGGAGTGAGTGAGGTTATTGAGGAAAGACCGAGTTGTGTGAGTGAAGTGATGGGATTGGTCGATAAAGGATGTAAAAATGTAAGTACCTATTTTCTTTATATTCCTAGTTTATTATTATTATTATTATTATTATTATTAGTTTCAGCAGTAGGCGGATTTAAAATCCGATGAGACTACTGAGTCTGTTGTACTGCGTGTGTCATTGTTTGGTGTTATTAAAATCACATTTAGATTGGTCATGCAGAGTAATGCACAAACATATTGTTCCAGTCTTCGATTTCCTTGTCAAGGCGATTTTTGAATTGGTTCTTGGATGTTGAGTTTACGGTGTCGCTGCTCAGAGAGTTCCAATGATACACCACCCTGTTGGACAGGAAGTTTCGTCTAAGCATTTTGTTGCATTTTTCTTTGGATAGCTTTTTGTTGTGACCCCGTGAGTTTTGATTAATGCTGAGTTGGTATATATTGGTTAAGTTGCAGGCATAGTATCCGTTGAGAATCTTAAATGTCTCGATAAAATCTCCTCTGGTTCTGCGGTCTTTCAGTGTGGTCAGGTTCAATTGAGTCAGTCTGATTTCATATGGCAGATCTTTAAGTTCACTAGGAAGCTTAGTAATCCGCCGTTGTACTCGCTCGAGTTGTTCAATGTCCTTCACATAGTAAGGATTCCAGATTGATTGGGCATACTCAAGTTTTGGTCGAATGTAGGACTTATACAGTTTCAAAATCATCTCTTTAGAGTGGTCTTTGAATGCTGTTTTGATGAGGTATGTCATTGAGTTTGCCTTTTTTGTTACATTAGTGATGTGTGTCTCCCATTTTAGGTCTGCCGTCACTGTGATTCCAAGGTCTTTCTGCTTTGCAACAGTTGTTATTGGTGTTTGTTGTAGAAAATAGCTATGACTAGGGTTATTCTGGCCTATGTGTAGTACAGTACATTTGGAATCATTAAGTGGCATTCCCCACTTTGTTGTCCATTCCTTTATTCTGACAAGATCTTGCTGTAGGTCCTTATGTTGTAATAGAGGGTTACAATATAGGTTACCATCATCTGCAAAAGATGCATTTTTTGTTGTAAGTCCCTGGTACAGATCGCTCAAGTATGTTATGAATATGAGGGGACCGAGAACTGAGCCTTGAGCAACTCCGCTGTGTACTTTGTGCTCCTGCGACAGGCTAGTACCAATTCGTACCTGGAAAGTTCGACCAGACAAAAAACCATCACCAATCAGCCGTAGTAAATCACCTCTGACTCCAAATTGCTGTAGTTTGTATTCGATGTATTCGATTGGTATTTTGTCAAACGCCTTTTCGAAGTCAAGGTAGACCACATCCATTGGTTCTCGGTTGTCATCAGCCAGTGACCAGTCGTTGAACCTAGTTAGAAGGTTAGTGAATGTGGATTTTTTTGGTAGGAAGCCATGCTGCTGTGAGGGTATGATCCTTGTTTCCAAGAAGAAAGATGTAAGTTCTTTTGCTATGACTTTTTCCATGCACTTACACAGCATGCTAGTTAAACTAATTGGCCTGTAGTTTTCTGCCAACTGTTTATTTCCTTTTTTAAATATTGGTGTGACAATAGCTTTCTTCCAGGCTTTCGGAAATTCCCCTGTTGTCTGTAAGATGTTTAACACATTTGCCAGGGGTGCTTTTAGAACTTGTACACAATTTTTGAGAAAAATGGAAGGAATTTCATCTATTCCAGGACTTGAGTTGGACTTTAATGACTTTATGGCAACTTCTAATTTTTCTGGTGTAAATTCGATGTGATTTATCTCAGTTACTGTGTAAGCATTTACTGGTAGTGTGGGCCTAAGGGTGTTTGCGTCCAGAATAGTAAAAACACTCTGGAACTGCTGCGCGAAGCACTCTGCGATTTCCTGATCAGATTTGAACGGTATTGAGGTATCCTTATCTATTAGATTGAAGCTGGCATGCTTTGAGTTTAGCGAACGGCTTATGTATGAGTAGAATTGTTTAGTGTTCGCTAATAAATTGTGTTCATAGTTTCTCCTGGCCGATGTTGATAAATTTGATAATTTTCTTCAGATTTGTTGTTTTGGTAATTATGCCAAAGATTTCGCTTTTGTTGAATTTCTTTGAAAACTTCTTTTGTGAGCCATGGTTTTTGCGGATTAACTTTTTGTGGTTTGTTTGGGATGTGTTTGTTTATTGTGTTTGTTAAAGCCTCGTAGAATTGGTTGAAAGTCAATGGGTTTGCCAGTCTTCTTAATTCCTGTTCAAGTGTTTCATTAACTGCGATGTAATCTGCTTTCCAAAATTGCCTTTTGTAAATTTTTCTGGTTGGTTGAGCAGCTACATTTATTTGTGACTTGGCTGTGATTACAACATGATCACTTTTTCCCAAGGGTGCGTGTGATTTGATATCAAAA